TGCGGCTCACCCTGAGGGTAGCAGCACCCGTAAGAGGAGCAGGGATGGAGGATGCTCCGTGGGGCCAGCTGCTCACCCTGTGTCTCTTTGCCTCTCCCTCGGCCAGTACAAGGCCAGCTACAGCCGTCACTTCATCTCTCCAGATAAACAAGAGCGCCAAGACAAAGAAATCTTCCGGCAGAACATGAAGAGGCGTCTGGAGACCTTCAAGTCCACAAAGCACAACGCCTGCTCCTCCAAGAACAAGGCCAGGCTGAAGGAAAAGGGCAGGAAAAAGGCAAGCCCTCCCCAGCCTCCGACTCCTTTCCTAGATCTCAGCTTTGGCCTCCCCCAGGACGCACAGTGAGGTCCTTTGGGGTGTAGGTGAGGTGCTGCAGGGCATCAGCAGCTCCAGAGCCAGCGAGGAAAACGGCTCATCTCATCTCAGTCCTGCCTACGCTGTGTGGGAGCGGGTGGATGTTGCATGTCCATGTATCCCCACCATGCCAGCACTGCCGTGGGGTGGCTGTTCCCTGGGCAAAGCGGCCCCCAGCCCTGGAGGAGCCCCACGTTTGCTTTATGCTGAGTGCTCTTGGAAAACAGCTTGAACGTTGGTGCAGATCCAGGCTCACATGTGTGGCACCGTGCTGGGCCGTAGGTGTCTTCTCTCGTTTGGAGGCTCTTGAAGCCCTCGCAGCTGAGCTGTTTGTCGTAGGGGCGTGAGGACTCAATGCCAGGGGCTAGGAACCACCAGCTGCCAGCTGCCCCCTCGCTGGGGTTGGATGCTGTGTCCCAGGGGTTATTGGGTTTGCAGGGCTGCCTGGGTTGGGGTTAGGGGTTTGCGCGGGGCAGGTCCCAGCCAGTCCCTCTTCCTTCGCAGAACATCTCTCTGAGCAGCGAGGCTCCCAACGGGAAGACGCACAGAAACGTCCCATGGCAGGAGGCGGGTAAGGCCGGTGGCAGGCGAGTTTTGCAGGCCCTGGCAAGGGGAGCTGGTGGGGTGGGAGCAGTCTGCTAGCACCAAGTCCTTCTCCCGTGGGTGCAGTCCCTCCCAGACAGGGCGCCCCATCCTTCAAACCAGCTCCCTCCGTCTGTCTGCAGCTCCTGTCCTGGTGATGGTCAGCTCCGAGGAGGAGGAGAGCGATAGCTCGGAGACAGAGAGAGAGGACGATGAAGGGATCGTATTCATCGCTCGAGCCACCGATGAGATCCTGCAGGGAAAGGCAACTCCTGGTAGGCACTGATGCTCCCACACCAAGGCAGCTGCCGTTGAGTGGCTTATCCTTCCTCCACCTGGGGAGCAAAGTTGCCTTGGCCTGGGCAAAACCAAAGTCAGCAGAGCATGAATGTGAGAATGGCTGTTCTCTGTGGCTCTGGAGGCAAGGCAGAGCCTCCCTGGTGGCTCCTGCATCCCTGGGCCAGCTGGTTATTTGGTAGTGCTTGGTTCTGCAATGTCTGCAGGGCCCAGGGAGAGAGCAAGAGGTGTGCAAAATCCCTCTCACTGTCCCTCCTTCTGGATCCCCAGGCAGCCTGGACGTCTGTCCCAGCCCTTGCATCATCCCGCCATCGCCCACCTTGGCAGAGAAAGAGCTGCCATGGAAAGGAGACCAGGCTGATCTGGCTGTTTATGTCTCCTTGGAGACCACCAAAATCGTGCCAGTGGATATGCAGAAGGCGTGGAACCAAAGCATCTCCTCCCTAGAGAGCATCGCTTCCCCCCCAGGCATCGAGAGCGGACCTCAGCACAGGAGATTCGCCTGCCCTGTGCTGGAGGAGCAGCCCCAGTCTGCCAGCCAGGCGATGCTGGAGCAGAGCTCCTGTTTCCAGTTCCCCAGCAACGTCTCCAAGAGCGGCCGGTCGCAGAGTGACAGCAGCCCGGACGGCGCAGAGCAGCAGGAGCTGCAGCCTTTGATGGCCACGGAGGAGCAGGGCAGGATGCTGCCCACCGCGGAGCCCAGGTGGCT